GCAGCTTCTCTCTGCAGCGAAGGTTGTCGGAGCAGCAGCAACCAGAGCTCAGGTGTTTCCCTGGATGCCGGTCCCAGGGGGGATTCTGGCAGCCCCAGGCCAATGGCCGAGGGTGTGCAGGGCCTGTGCTGGGCCATGCATGACGTGAGTCGCCTGCACACGATCTCTGCAGACACCTGCCAGAGACTCAGCTGCTGAGAAAACACTTTGTATCCCTCAGGGCCCCGGGGGAACCACCACAAAGTGAGGTAGTCTGTGGCACGTTTAGCTACCTTACAATTTCACTGCTTTTACCTCCCCAAACTGCAAAGACCCGTTCCCTGAGGGCCTGACAGATTTGGCTACTGGCAAGACAAATCTTCCTTGTGACTGCGTAAGGTTCTGGAGGGGTCCCTGTGCATGCTCCGGATGCACAGCGCTTCCACAGCAGACAGTAAACCCAGTAACAAGGCCAAAAGTCTTTGCAGGGCGTCAGAGAAAGTATTTAGCACAGGAGACTGCAGATTAACTGCAAACAACAGATGGGGCAGCTCTTGCTGTGGACTTTTGTGGCTGGTGAGGACAGTGTCTCAGCTCTCAGAATGTTTGCTCAGGAGAGCAGACAGGTGTACTGCTGTCTCTGCTCTCACACTACCTGTCATCTTGAACTAAAAAACCAGCACCGCCACATGTCACACGTACCACCTTTTAGTATCTAGCAGGACCTACTACTTTGTTACTCAGTTGTCTGAAATATTTTTCAAGAGCAGTGGCCTGCAAAGAGTCAGGCCTTTGCCAAATATTAAATCAAACTCGAGAGGGAATAAGCAGGATCTCTCATTGCAGCTCTCTCTCTGCAGCTAATGAGCCAAGGCAAAACTCCTGCCGTCCTCCAGAGAGCGAGGTTGAAGCACAACCTGGAATCCGATGCAGCTGAGGATTATGAGCTTGTGCAAGTCATCTCTGAGGACAAAGGTAGGGAAGCAGAACTCTGCTGCTGCTTGAAGAGTGCTGCTGGGTTTGGGGGGAAAGAGTAAAATGTGAAGCAAGGTTAGAAATCCCAGTACATGCTGTCGTGGCTGCCAGTGAGCAGAACCCCCCTCGGTAACTGGTGCGCAAGGGGGGATTTATCACGGCCTGTCAGCGGGTCGCTTCAGAGGCAGGCCTCGCTCGCGGGCCGCCAGGCAAACCTCTGTCCGTCCATCCGTGCATGGCGTCAGTGGAGCCATCAGCTGAAGAGCAGCTGCGCTCGCTCCCTGAGCGCGGCCTGTCGCAGGGCACGGCCCCCCCAGGGATCAGGGCAGGCCCAGATCCTACCGCCAGCACCGTGCCCTGCAAACAGGGCTTTTGGCACAGCCTCCCCTTGGAGCAGCTGCCCGGCGGGACGTGCTCTGGGTTCGGCCGCCACCTCCTCTCCTCTGCAACTCTTTTTTCTGTGGGATGGCTGCTGTGGGCACCACCCGATGCGGCTTTGGCTGGCGAGGCGCAGCAGGGCACGGAACGGGGCCCAACACGGCCTGGATGGGTGTGCTTGGGCTGCTCACCCGGTCCCTGCTCTCTCCTGGCTTTCCCTCTGCTACCTACAGTGCTGCAAAGTAACGCTCGCAATGGCCCCTCTTTTGCAGAGCTGGTGATCCCAGACCATGCCAACGTGTTCTATGCTATGAACAGCCACGCAAACTTTGATTTCGTCCTGCGGAAAAAAGCTTCAGTCAGTGGGCAGAGGAAAGTGAGGAGCCGTTGCAGTGTGACGCTCCCTAGAACTGCCAGAGCGGGGTGTGAGAGCAACAGGCTCAGCAAAATTAGGCTGTGAGGCAGACAAGGCCATGGGGAGTACTGGCTGAGGACTGCCCTTGCAACCATCCAGTATTACAGAATCAACAGGAGATGAACGTGTCGCTATTCAGCTTTGAACATATCGGAGGCTGGAATGCAAAGTGAGCATCTGGTCGACCTACAGCCAGAGATGTGGCTCTTCTCCCTTGTAGCTGGACATGGACATACACACATGGATTGATGGGACAGTATGCCGACGGATAGAGTCTGGGGATCAGGAATAATACCAATATGTTTTGCAAGCTTGATCCAATTTTATTAAGTACAGAGCATCTTACTATACTGTTAGAGAGTGACTATGCGAAGGCAAACAAACTGTGATTGGTTCTGTGCTACCGTCCACACGATATTATTCATATTTCATTGGTACAACGTAAGAAGCACACGCGAGAGGCATGAGCCGTGGACCTCCTACTTGAGGTTTCAACATCACACCTTATCTCTAGTTAAAAGAATTTGCTGAATAATAGCTCTCTATGCAGTGGCAAGGCAGAGAGGAATGCTGAACAACAGTTCTTTATACAGAGGCAAACAGCAGAGAATTGTTCATTTCAGTATCAAGGACCATGTGACCGTTATCTTTCAACAATTTCTCCACATCTCCCCCTTTTTCTTTTTTGTACAATCATAACTTGGTTTGTCACTTTAGTAATGAACCGCTTGATACACGAAATGCTAAGTCCTATTATAAACATTGCAGTTATAACATAGAAGCAAAATCGAATCAATTCCTGAAACAAGCTACTTAACCAAAAAGGAAGATTCCATTTCCCAAAAAGAGTCCGAAGCAAATTATCAAATCCAGATTGATGTTGCTGAATATGTTATATATTCTGTTTCATTAGGCTAAGTGACTTGTGAATAGATTCGGAATTGTCAGATTCATACAACACATTCCATCAAGGTCTTCACAACCATGTTCTTGTGCTAATAGTAAGAAATCAATTGCCGCTCTCTTTTGTAGCACAGCATGTCTAACGCTATCCACATTGGCTAGTAAAGCTGAAATAATACCTGAAGTTAGATTAAATTGTTTCACACTCCAAGAAGCTAATTTTTCTAAATTAACTAAAGCATTCGCAGAAGCAATACCAGGTGCTAACAAGGAAGTAAAAAATAGCTGTGTTCTGCTCATTAATTCCACATTGTCCTTGCAGTCTTCAGTTAGGATTTTTAGAGATCGTGCTTTCCTTCTACCCTGTGTAAGATCATGCTGATTGGGCGCAAACAATGTAAGTTTCCCTATATAACAAGGTCCTCCAAAGGCATATCCAGGATTGCCTCCCCAAATCAAAAAATACCCTTTGGGTAACATTTTAGCACTACCATTATTCCATATTCCCTTTTCTGGTAATCGAGTACCTAAAAAGTAGTCACTTCCATCACAATAGGTTATAAGTAGTTCATGACCGGGCCAGGGAGAAGAAACATCAGTAGCATAGGTCAAACGACTATATGCTAAGCTTGGTTGAAGTCTAGCCGGGCTGATGTTTAAGGAGCATAATTGTGTATCAAATGTTGCAAAAGAGAAGCAGCCCCGTGGCATTCCTCTTGTACTTTTACTTTCATGAGCCATAAGGGATGCTTTTAATTCTAATTCCTGTACTGGATTCAGGGCACTGGTGTTGAGATTGTTAATTACCTGTCCTTGAAAAAGAGGCCAAGAAATGCTATTGCAGGTCTTTGTGTGATTGTACTCAGCCATACAGTAACTGTTCACATTTTGAAAAACAATTTTTATCTGACTAATGTTGGTGACCATACTATAAAAATCATCAGGGTCAAAATATGGATATCCGATTAAACATGTTCTGAAA